TATTTTTATTGTTTTCTGGACGTCTGAATACCAAGGTATAAAGTATATTATTTCACAGTTTGTTGTTGTATACATTCGGTTACCTTTTTAGTGCTTCTTGGTACCATTCAGAATGCGGTATTAATGCAAGTAAAATAAAGTTTGAATGATTCAACCAACTGATAAGAGTACATGGATCCTTTTACACCTAAATTGCTGATTCAAAGTGAGGTAAGATGGACAGGTATCAAGATTCTTTTCTATCGGATATTGTGACCTGGTCAATGAAAGGGACAACACCTATTAGTGTAAAGACCATTTGGGCCAGGGGGTGGGATGGAGAAGGAATACACATTTTCCATGATTGTTTACTAATTAATAAGACTGTGTATGAAATGTCGTCAGCAGTCTAGGTTGTCTTGTTCCACTACAATTGTCTCCTCTACACGGGCATTATAAGGTGAAATCCTCTGGCCTGTTTCATGCAGCAGATCAGGCACGAAGATAAATGTAATGGTTCCTTCAGGCCTCAAATCTACGGAGGGAGTTTCAAAGTCACAAATGGAAATGAGGCTCTCAACCCCCATTGACATTCAAGGAGAACAGGACACCTCTCTACCCTTTGTGTCTTTGAAAATCTCCTGCTATAATCTATGAAGTTTTGTCTATCACCAGCTAAATTTCCATAACCTTCAGCAACAAAATGCACAGACCCTCTGGGTGAATGAACTGTGTAAGCAATTTTTTCGACTTTATTTTCAAGCTCCCATGATGGATCCATTAGTTACTTCCTGATGCTTGGTTTATTTACACAGAGATCAAACACACTCTTTATTGCAAAAAGAGAAAGGGGATGTGAGGAGGGAGGGAGAGAATCCAGAGATAATCAAGACAAAAGCATCATGATGAAAGAGCCAAGCTCTTTGGAAACATGAGCTCTAATTTAGCCTCAGCAAATCCTTTTGTCTTATCTAGGAAGGCATATATACAGACATACACACACACATGTGCATACTTAGACACATAGAAAATGATACTTATTAAAGTATTTTATACTACTGATGCAATCAGTCACACAGCAAAAACTGTCAAAGTCAATATTTTCAAGATTTCTCCAGGGAGTTCAGGCTGTGCGAGAGATGTATGTTTTTCATTAGGGTTTACACCAACATTTGGTGTGATTAATCCTAATGTTTCAATCTTCACATAATAGGCTTATTCAGAAGAATAAAGTATTGCAGAGCAGTGGAAAGAAAATCCCCAGTAGAAGCCGGTGTTCATTATACATAAAGAAAGGGTATACGATTCTTTTTATAGCCATAGGTTTTACTTTCTTTTTCATGTTTTTATTCCCAAAATTTTAATATCTAATAAAGATCCAAAAGAGACAAAGACCTGACTGATCTAGGGCCTCTACAGAAACAAAGTCTGAGACAATCCCCACCCAAGGAAACTGTAGTACACACGGACAAAGGCTGCAGTAACAGAGGTGGTTGTGTTGTTAACATTAGGCCACAGGGGAGGTCCCAGAAAGAGTTAAAAAGGAAATTGGGACATATTCTGTCTCTCAGAAGATGTCTGCACTTTAATCTCCGTAGCCAGTATGGACATGACAGGTTTAAGCATATTTGCTGAGGTGATGTAGTTTTGCAGCTGAGATGGTGAGGAGACCAGTGAGAATCACAAAACCGATCTGAGATGGGGTGCATATTCTTGAGAGACTAATGTGAGCTGTAGGCTGCTGTGCCTGTGCTGCTATACATACCTGAGCTAGATGGATTGTAGATAACCCAGTTATACCTTTTTAGAAATAAGTTATCTTCAGACTGAAAGGTTGTTTTAGTCTATCAGTCAGCCTTGCAGGATAATTCCTCTCCAGCAACATAATCCTGCTGAAAAACAAAACTATGTGAGATTCTGAAATTTTAGAATGTGACATCGAGCTATCAATTGCTGATACCTCCAGGCATTCATAATGATGGAAAGAAAAAAAATAAAGTCCCCTGATTAAAATACTATCTGTAATTTAATGAAGGTATGACTTCAAGGACAACCCCAAAACCTTTCACTTCATTTCTGCAAATGTTCCCACTGATTGGAGGCTTCTGCTGCCTTTTCTTTAGTTTTTCATTCAAAGGAAGAACAGGGACGTTTCCTGATTGTCTATATGCCCACTTTATTGTGAATAAGGATATGTGTGTTTGTGACTCCTTATATTTGGCAGGGTGAATTTCTAAGTACAGATGTGGAGGGAAAACAAAATATGGATAATAAAAAAAAAAAAAATAAATACATCAGTTCTTTTTTTTTTCAAACCTCATGGTCAACAGCATAAATGCGGAGTTTAATTTAACATGGATCTGAGCATAGAAAATCTGAAGGCCTATGTTAGAGATTTGTTTATTTATTTATTTATTTGAATAATCAACTTCAGCAAGATCCAGAGACATATTTTTTCACAAACTCAACATTTATTAGTGAAAAAAATGGAATAGAAACATAATTAAGAAAATGTTTTCCTTGTTGAAGCTATCTTTACTAACTAATAATACGAAGTAAAACAGAAGAATAAAAATTAAATTTTTTTTTGATGGAATTGTGGTTTATCTTTTTGGATCAAAATCTTTTTTTCCAGCCTAAAGGAAAAAAAAAAAAAAAAAAAAAAAAGAAAGAAACAAGACCTTGTTGCTTTCTTAGATTTTGTGTTAATTAGGGTCACTTTCATCATCTTTACAAGCAGAGTTTTCTTGATTTGGTTTATAGTTTGTCTCTCTTTTTTTTTTTTTTTTTTTAATTTTTATTTTCTTCCTGTTCTCTGATATGAAAGAATCTGTAGTAATGCTTCAACCAATCCCCAAAGGTCTTTACAGATAATTTCCAGTTGCATTACTGATTTATTTTTGCTTTGACCAGATGGCTCCAAGTTCATGTGACTGTAAGGGAGTACTTTTGATTACCCTATTTATCTCTCCCAGTGCTCAATTTAAGGGTCAAACCTTGTGTAACACATTTGCCAGATAAACTATTCAGTGCTTCTGCCTTTTGGACACCATACTTCTGACATATGCTCTGTGCCTCATTAAACACAAAAGTTATTAGATTTAATAAATGTTTTTACAAACTCTGTTTGTAACAAAAGATTCAAGTTTCAAATTTTTTTTTATTTTATTCACATGTGGCTAGTGGATTGCTTTGACTTTATCACCTGGAAAAATGGGTGAAATTGAAAGGGAACATCCTGAATATGACAGAGGAGGGGAAAGCAGAGAGGCAGAAGCAGGGATGGGTTTTTGTTCTTCTTTTTTTTCCCTTGATATAGGTTATAAATGAAAAGACGAGCAGAATGTTTTTAATGAAACCAATAAAAATGCAAAGGAAGATTTAATGTTTAAAGTAACGATAAATCAAAAGTGACAACTGAAATGCAATATTGCACCATGAGATTGAGGAAATAAATTCATCCATAGGGCAGATGTGCCTGCTGTAAAAAAAAAAAAAAAAAAAAAAAAAAAAAAAAAAAAAAAAAAAACTTAAAAGTTTTCACCGTTACTGAAACAAAGTAAGTCTTATAAGATCAAACTAAACTCTAAACACAGTACGTTGAATAGAAATGGTTCAGACACACCCATGTGGAAACACACACACATGTATATTCACATATGAGTGCACACTCATGCATATAGGAATAAAATATCTAAATGAGCTTAAGTTCAAACAATTTAAGTGTAAAAATGCTCATAAACATAGTTATAACTTATTTCTAGTACTTTTATGGATAGTAGTATGAATAATTACACAGGACAAGCAGTGGCTATGTCCCACTACCTCAGCTGAAACCTTCAAAATGAAAATTAATTACTTGGAAGAGAGACTGTCTTGTAATAGCATTTGCCTGGGACTAGGACCCCTGTGATCTGAATCCCAGCTCTGTCATAAACATGCTGTGCGACCTTGCAGGATCTGCTCTGGCCTAGATTTTTCCTAGCTAAATTTAGGCAATTAATTGAGGTGCTGATTTGGAAGTTAGGCTGGGCTGGCTCCCTTTCTAGTCATTGGATGGAAGTTGAGCTTCAGAGCTACCTATATTTGCCAAAGACTAAGAGGAATTCTAGCTCTGACACACTCTGAAGTTGTCAAAAATGAATTCTGATCTTTGGTGGAATGCTGACACAATTATTCAGGCTGAATTGGACTTTTTTCACTAAAATTTTTTTTGGGTTGAAATAGAGTCTGATTCTTTTCAGTGTGAGAATTCTCTTACCTGACTTCTTTTACTTAAAGTGTGAGGCACTCAGGGTTAACAAACCAGTTTTCCTGAATACTCATCAGAAGCCTTTGCAAATGTTGATTGCCATGATGTACCTTTTAAAACTATATTTCACCACTGTTAAAAACCTATATGTGGTTCTAGTCTTTTCCAAAAATGGATTGTGAGCTGTGTTGCTACCTCTGAGCATGCAAAAGAAATTGAGAGAATCTCAGACTTAAGTGGTCTTGCTTACAGTATCCATGAAGAATTTTGAGTTCTGACAAAAAACCCTCTTCTGAACTTTAGGCCTCATCTTGGGAATATCAAGCCTCCTCAGAATTTTTGCTTGTGGATGTCTCTGATGTGCAGAAAGGGGTGAGAAGGTGATCTGGACACAATCACTAAATAAGCTGAAACTGTGATCTGTGTCTGTGTTTGCATATATGTGTGTGTGAATTTTCTACAAGGCCAAAAGTGTGAAAAGAAATTAGATCATGACAGAAGGCAGGACAAACAAAGAAAGAGAGAAAAAGAGTGGAAAAACAGAAAGAGGAAGGGGAAGGAGAAAGGGAGGTTATACCTGGCCTTTTATTTTTGAAATAACCTTGTACTCCTTTTCAATTTTCTCTTCAGAACTGCTCCCCCACCCACCCC